CATCCAAGAGGACCCCAGATTACAGGGCAGTACCAGCCCAGGGAATTCAATCCTTTACAGCTAAAGATGGACTTTCTCTGAAACCAGTGAGTTCTGACTCGATAGCCAATCTATGCTTTGGGAGTTAACCTTAAGCATTCCCCCCCCCCCATCTAAACCCTAACAGACTTCAGGAGGAATCTCAATAGCATTTCTTGCTCATCCAGTGTGGAAGATAGATAGATAGATAGATAGATAGATAGATAGATAGATAGATAGATAGATAGATAGATAGATAGATAGATAGATAGATAGATAGATAGATAGATAGATAGATAGATAGATAGATAGATAGATAGATAGATAGATAGATAGATAGATAGATAGATAGATAGATAGATAGATAGATAGATAGATAGATAGATAGATAGATAGATAGATAGATAGATAGATAGATAGATAGATAGATAGATAGATAGATAGATAGATAGATAGATAGATAGATAGATAGATAGATAGATAGATAGATAGATAGATAGATAGATAGATAGATAGATAGATAGATAGATAGATAGATAGATAGATAGATAGATAGATAGATAGATAGATAGATAGATAGATAGATAGATAGATAGATAGATAGATAGATAGATAGATAGATAGATAGGGTATCATCAGAATAGAGTGCCTATTCTCAGTGTAGTTTCATGTAAACGTTAAATAGTAGGGAGGAGAGAACCAAGCAGTGTGGCACACCACAGTCAAGAGCTCAAAGACTCAGATTCTCCCCACTACACTGACTCAAACCAGCCATTCAGGAAAAGGAAGAATCACTGCAACACAACCGCCCACCCCCCCAACCCTTGCAACCAACCTAGAAGAATACCATTTTCCATTATACTGAAGGTAGCTGAGAAATCCAGCAAGTCAATGATAATTGCTTTCCCCCATGCCAGTCCCATCATAGGAGTCAGATAATCTGAGTCTGATAATCCAGTTCCATCTGAAAAGGGATCAGATCATCATCTGCAACACTACCACCTTCTCAACAATCCTACAGTCAGGTTAAGCAGTAGCTTCTTGAGAAGGGGTCACGTACCATATCCTTCAAGGCTGGTAGGATACCTAAACTTTTCCTATACTGTAGTTCAAACTTCCCTTTGTGACATAACATTTCTGAGTCAAACTTAATTCTTGGTAACTTTATGGACATCCATTCATTTTCTTCCCAATAGTATGGAAGTGGTTTTCCACTGCCTTCTTCTGAGATTTTTCGTTTTATTGCAATCATAATATTTCCTGTAGTCTCTGCCTAGCTTTGTGAGATCTGCCAATGTCAGGTAATTGCTCCCAAAGAAGTTGTTGGAAAGAGTAGAATTTGCAGTGCCTGAAGGGGGGCAGGAAGGCAGCAGCATTCTTTCACAGCATCATGAAGACCCCGGCCACACAATGCTTGGGACGCATTGGCTACCACTAAAATATAGTGTGGTGAACATTGGGATAGGCCTATACACAGGAAGGAGCACAGATTGATGAAGGAGTTATATCAGGCATCAGTGCATCATTCTTTATAAGCTGTAGAAGTAATTCATTCTTGTTATTCTAAGTACTGATATGCATCTTTTACATTTCTTGGGGAAATCCTTCTGTACATAAGTTAGTGTTTGAGTTTATGTGCACTGTAAACCATTATAACGTAGCAGGTGTGATGGAAGGAAGGTCAGAAGTAAGTTTTGTTCCCCTTATGTTTATTTTGTTTTGTTTTGTTTTTCACAAAATAGGAGAGATTCCTTGCGGTTAACTGCTGAGTACGACAGTCAGGTGCTGACCATCCAGATGACCTGGCAAATGGTGAGGACGGGACTTGCTCTCAGCCTACCTGTATAAGAATAATTTCCATCTCAGCAGACCTCCCATGTGGGTCTATTCTAGATCCCATGGAGAAGGAACCTTGGGAGGTCAGAGATCTGCTGCTATGACAGAATTCTCTGAGCCTGGGAACAAAATGGACATTTCCAAGATATTGCAGAACAAGAACAGATGGACATTTTTGTGGTCTCAAATCAGTAATCAGCATCCTCCCCATTAAATCAAGACTCAGTTAGAAAGAAATCAAAGGCTTTGAGGCTCTGCCTTAATGTACTCACTGATAAACGAGGGCCAAAGTACACATATTCAATTTGCAAGATTCTGGAACCTTACCCTTTGTTCCCTGCAATAAATCTGCCTACTCTGAATCTGTAAGAATCCGGCTGTCTTGTTGTGAGTCGCTGTAAAGGGGTTCACAGCTGGACTCCAGTTGGCCCACAGCAGGGTTGCCCCCTCCCATCTGGCCAGTGGGCTTTGCACCTCCAAGGCCATTTTTGCTGTTGCTGCCAGTAGGACCGGACACCTCACTTGGTATGGCCTGTTTCTTCTAGTTTTTTTCATTCAGGCATGGGAATACCAACCTCATGGAAAGAGGAGAAACACTGCTCCCTTGATAGCTAAGCATTTATGGTAATGTGTGATATTTTACTACCAGCAGAGAGACTCAAATGAGAGTACAGCATCTGTGATCATCACAATGGCATAGTTAACGCAGTTCTTCCAGTACAAAGAAGTAGGATTTTCCTTCCACATTATTCTAATTTATTGCATTAATCTTGCTGTAATATACTACCTGTAAAAACTAATTGTATAATAATATTCTATCTCCACTTAGTAATAATAGGAACTAGTCCTGATTATTGTTGAGATAAGCAGTAGTAGCCTATAGTCCTGGAAGCAGATGAAAAAGCATAGATCAAGATAATTTTCATACACATACATGCTTTCTCACAAATGTTATTCCCTCCTGCTGAATAACTCACAGTTTTCTTAAAATGTAATAAACATCCAATAAGAAGTTACTAATAAACAAGTGTCAGTATTGGGCATTTACATTTGTAGCACCTTTGGAAACAGCATTCAAATTATCCTACTTTTGTTCATTCAGAAGTTGTATGACTTACTTGGCACAGACTCAGAATCAAAGGATCAACTTAATAATTTACTCTCTTAATTCCCATTTTGAAATACAGCATACTACCACTCCCCAAAAATATGCTTAAATAGTTTTTCCCTTCCCTTTTCCAAGAGGACCAATCTGTTCTGTATCTGTTGAACTGGCATGCCAGTTGCAGTAAAGTTCTGTCTCTTTTTTGGTATACGTGTGAAAAAAATAGCCAGCTATCCTGAAAATAAGAATCAACAGACTTATGAATATATGCTTATCTTAAACAGACCAAAGGTAAACTTGATCATCCCTCCCCTTCCATCAAACTGCCCTATATAATTACATAGCTGGGTTCATACAACATCTAAACCCAGATTAACCAAATATAATTGCTGAGTTTGCATTATAAGCTACTTCCAAACAAACAGAAAATATTAGTGCTTTAGTATAATGGGCTGGTTCAGACAACATTCAAATGCTGTAATGTGTCTATATCTACAAAGATCAAAACTGTGCAAGCCATGATATTCCCTGTGATACTCTATGGAAGTGAAAGTTGGATTTTAAAGAAGCAGGATAGGAAGATCATTGATGCTGTTGAACTTTGGTGTTGGAGAAGACTTCTGAGAATACTGTGGACAGCCAAGAAAACACACCAATGGATCACTAAGCAAATCAAGCCAGAGTTCTCACTCGAGGCACGAATGATCAGGTTTAATTATCTTCCTTCGGACACATTATGCAAAGACCTGCTCTCTGGAGAAGACTCTAATTCTGGGAAAGGTGGAAAGAAAGAGAGGAAGAGGACAACCAGCAGTAAGGTGGGTGGACTCAGTTTCAGTGGTGATGAGTGTACCATTGGGAGACTTGAAAGAACAGGTTAGGGACAGATCATCATGGAGAAAATGTATCTATGTGGTTGCTAGGAGTTGAAAACCACACAATCAAGCAATCATCAGACAATATGCTATGTCAATTGCTGGATTTACACAACTTTTTGAATCACTTTACCCAACCTTAGTCCATTGGGTTGCAACCACAACCAGCTTATTCCATTGACATGACAAGGACACACTGTGAGTGTCCCTCCAGATTTTGTGGCACTGAAAAGGGTCAGAGTATACTTTTTGCCATTCTAGCCTAAGAAATTGAGAATGAGGCCAAACTCTTCCATTTTTTTCTGCCAGTTAGCAGGACCTTGGACAAATTACTAGGACCTTGCATATCTTACTGGCATAGCAAGTTGACTCACTTTCCCTTTAGAATCATTCTCTTGTTTATCATATAGCTAGCGTGGGCTTCTAAGAGAAATCAACTGGTACATTAACAGGAGTAATTTTGTTGTTTGCTTTAATCGAGCATTTATTGGGCCTGAATTTCATTTAATGTTTTAAATTTGCCATGTTAATTACCTTTATTTAAAATGTTTCTTGGGAACACTTTACAGCAAGTCATTAGTTTACAGTTTTGTGAAACGCTGCACTATAAACATGAAAAGCATCAACAGGAAAGGGAGTCAGAGCTTATTGATAGAGTGCACAAGGTCATTTGCAAAAATAAATGCTAAACACGCTAAACCTTATTTGAAGTAGTTCTATGTTTAGCCAAGCTGAACCAGTTCCAGCCGCACAGAGACTTTTATGCTCCTTTTATATCTTTTGATAATCATGCTATCAAGGCAGGATAGATTAGTTTATGATGAAGAAATAATGAGTAGATTAATACTTCTAAAATATGTATAGGCTTGCAACGTTTTGCTTTATTATGTTCTGGAAAATAAAAGCTAATAAGGAAGCGATTCTTTTAAGCTTGAAAAAACGAAGCTTACATCAAGCAAATGATTCTATTTCATTTTATGTGGCTTTTCAAAAACTGAGCAAGCCAGTAGTAGCTCCCAAGCCCAGAATATTAGCACCAAAGCAATTCTGAAAGCCAAATGTGTTTTCTTATTTTAGAGAAATACCAACTGCTCGATTGCTTTAGCTGTATTTAAGCAATTTGTCAATCCCTAAGTCCCACTCTAATTTTTTCCTTTAATACTCACAGTAGCTGGAACGCCATCCAACTGACGTGCGCCATGATTCGACACCAGAATCCCATCGACACCAATCTTTACTGCTTCTCTAGCATCATCAGCTGGGGAAACAAAATACTGAATTCGTAAAAGTTGCAGCTGTCATTCTGGAAACTGCAACATCCATTAATGCCAGCTTTTCAAAAATGGGAGGCGACCTAAGAAATGCCATTCAGCACTTTAAATGATCTCCAGAACCAATGCTGAGGTTTAAAGTAGACTTTTTCCCAATTCAAGGGCATTGTTTATTGCTTTTAAAGGACTATCAGAAGCACCTCTT